CAGAGTTTCCGAATATGCTTCACAAAGGAAGATCAGGGCAATTTGACTTATCTCTGCATAATGTCAGCTGTGTCTCTTCATTGATAAGGAATTTAGGATAGTCAGAATTAAGTAAAAACCTCCAAGCAAAGATCTGAAATTGTTAATTTTATTTACACTTTTCTGTACAAATTTGGTCTTTTCCTGTTGCAAGTTTGTAAGGGTATTTGGCAATTTTGGTGTGATAATGTCTCACCATGCTAGTTTTAGACATGTCAATTTTAAGTAATTTTCTTTCAGACTTGTATTTTTCTGTTATTTTCAAAATTATTAGTGTTTTAGACTAAAAATAATCATATTATTCCCAAGCCATAAGAAGATCCTCTGTTATCTTTGGCCTCTGGCCTTTCATCTTCCAACATTAAAAGTATTCTTCAGAAATAGAATGCCTGTTAGCAGAAATATCTGTGGGACTACAGTCTTTTTGTGCTTTGCATTTGATACATTAATTCCCTAGAGTTTTATAACACAAAATTAATACAGAAATAGAACAAGTATTTTAAAGACTTGAAACAAGTATGTAAAATCTCACTTAATTTTTCAGCTCCTTATTTCCCCATGATGGGAGTGTTACTGTAGTATGTGGATAAAGTATCCTTCTCCCCTTTGTGCCATTTGTTTAGACTATAGATGGCCTGAGGACAAGATTTAAGTATTTATATAGCATTTTATAGTAATTATACTTATAGATAAATGCAATCTGAATACAACTGGACACAAAAGGGATTTTGAAAATAAAGCCCTATTAATTAATTAAAGACATTCTAGTCTGCATTACTAATAAGATTCAGCTCTGGAAAAAAATAAGTGTGTCAGTTAAACAAAACTATGTAACTCCTGTAAAAAAAACAATGTAGGCACCTTACATTTTTAACTCATCAGCATATTGATGGCTCTAACAGAACTACTTAAACACTATTGTTTGATTTGTTTAGAAGTAATATTAGTGATTGTACAGATCAAGATGGACTATTTAAAAGCTAAAACAACTCTGAAAAGCACCAGCAAGGCACTACAAACCTGCACCACATCTACCTTGGTCAGAAGAACTGTGCACAAGCCTTTTAATAAATCCTGTCCCCAGTACCACCAGAGAGACTGAAATATGAAACATCCCAAATACAAACAGACAACCACAAAGAATGTCACAAATTGTTTTTTTAAAAATGCAGAACGGTTTTTCAGTGAGGAAGTAACTCTGTGACAAGAATAAAGGAAAGCCTGGGGGAAAAGGTGCCAAAACAGATTTTTAACTCCACAAGGGTAACGAACAGCTCCAGGAATCTCCTAGAATAATTAGGACTCTGAAAGGTGAAGTTACATTCAGGTGGCTTTTTGTCATAACTGTTCTGTACAGATCACTAAGTCTCAAGTGCTAAGTATAAGGATATTATACATGATTAAGAAGTTCTTTGCAAGATTTACTTCTAGGTGTAGCTCTCAGACTTCCCCAGAATAGGGGCTGCACTCCCTGCTATACTTAAAAATTAATGTGGCTGGTGTTTTGGACCTACTGCGACTTTGGAGACAGACTTTGAGGGAATTCATTAGGGATATTACTTGAGAGCTTAGCTCCTGAAGAACAGTTTTAAGAATTTCTTGATGGTATTAGAAAGGATATTACCATGTTAAATGGTTATAATTATTTTTGTTTCTTTGTGTGTTTACAAGGGCATAGTGAGCTACTATTTTCTTCTAAACCAGAGATTTGTTAAGTTTTCAAAAGATGCAGTATCTTTTGCTGCCTCAAATGAGAAATTTTGAGCTTCTGAAATGTACATACTGGACAAAACCATATAGCTGTACTAATGAAACCAGTTTTTAAAAAATGTTTGCATCTCCAAATCCACCAATGAAAGAAAACTACTAGTGATTATATATTCATTTGATTACTTTCAGATGGATTGTCTTTCTGAAGTAGCCTGTCAAATTAACACAATCAAGTAAATACTGGCTATTTATAAATCCAGTAAATATCATGTAAATAGGGACTTTTATATTTGAAAGCAATTTTTTTTCCACAACTAGATATATGAAATTTGAGTAACTGACCACAGTACTGTAACACTAAACAGTTATTGTTCAAATGTGTTTGTGAAAACCTGAAACTCTTCTTTAAAGAGAAAAAGAAAAAAGAAGATAGGATAAACTGAATGACTCACATGTAACCATTTTCTACAATTTGATTTGCTTTGTTTTAGTAAAAAGAAAATAAACATGCCAAAGCTTACCTTTAAACTTCCATGTTTACATCCTAGCATTCATATAACAAATAGCAAGCTTTTCAACATTCTTTTAACAACATTACCACTATTTTAAGGCTGATGAGGTATAACTCTTTAAAACAGAAAATCTAATTTAATACCAGCACAGTAATCCATTAGTATTTTGTACTACATTCTAGCTGCTTAGGACTAATTTCTGGTACCATGTTACAAGTGTAAATCAAACATTTCTGACAGCACCATGTTCACAGGGAATTTAAAGTCAGCAGTACAATGAAACAAATTTTTCCACAGAGATTTTATTACCTTACCTGTGGATTAAGAGCCCTGAAAAGACTATTCTTAGCCATCCAAATCAACTCTTGATTCTGTCTCTCAAAAAACTGGTAGTGTAGGATCCATTCAAACTTGTGCCTAAAATTTCAGATATGTCCTAAAGTACATGTGAATTCTTTATATTGTCCAAGGAGAGACCTTCATGACTTTGAAGGCTTCCAAAAAAAATTCTGAAAACTGAGACAGAACCCTGTTATTTTCCCATCAGTTGGAACAATTGTATTTGTAGAGGAGATCCTCATCTGCAGGCTTTTAAAGGCTAACACACCTTTCTACCTGCCCTATAAACATTCCTTTACCTACATATCGCCCAATTGCTTTGGTCTACATAATCTAAGTAGATGGCTTTCATCTTCTGCACTGTACATTAAGTGCCAAAACATTAGCATTTAGAACACACTAAATGTAAAATCAACATTAGGTAGACACCATTAAATCTTATGAGTGTTGCTAATGTTACAGTAAATGACCACCGAAGTTTAAAAACAAACCAACCAGTTTCGACCACATAACATATTTCTAGGTCCAAATATTGACAAGGTCCAAAAATCCACAAGATTCTTCCATTTTTAGTCACACATATTAAAATCTTAGATCTCTAAGTCTAAATACAGTCTGTGATTGCTATTATAAAGTAAAAATTTTCAGACAAACAAACAAGTGATAAAATAAATGTGAGTATAATATACCTGTCTCATACCTGTCTCAAGTATAGGTACTAAGTCTTATCAATGCCACCTGTATGTTTAAGAAAAAAAGCCTAAGGAAAATGTCAAGGGGAAATCTCACACTTTTAAGAACTTTGTTGTTGCACTACATTTCAATGTATTCGTAGTATAAATTATGAACTGTGCATTCATGTATTACATAAAACCCAATTACTTGAAACACTGACTTATTTATGCATGCCATAGTACTTAATAGCTGTACAGTTGCTTCTTTTATCATTGTCAGAATTTCTTTTTGAACCTTTACTGTATTATCAGGCTTTTAATCACCTGTGCTTTTTTTCTGACCTTACCTATTCAGTGTGTTACTCTCAGCAAAGTGAGTATTCAGCAAAAAACTCTATGCAGTTATTTCAGCTGACCTTTAACCGTGCGATGTGCTAACACTAGCTATATTATTAGATGCATTTTATTTACTACTATAAAATAAATGCTTACTTAAGAGCTGAAAACTTTGTATTTCTGTTGCTTTCATTACTGGATTAGAAGCAGATCACATGCAGTTATGGGCACCAATCAGAATGTAAATACATGTTTTTAAATATGTTTTATTCAATATCAATAAAAAGTGACATTGCTGTATTACCACTTTACTTCAGAAACACTATTTTCTCAATGTTAAGAGAAGTATTCCAGGATAGCAAAGAATCATCTTTAATTCACTGTGTTTTACAGAACTAGTTATATTTCCCTACCATGAAAAACTAAAGAAACTGTATTTCCAATAAAATAAAACAAATGGATTTATCGAAAAAAAAGAAAACAGTATTGCTACAAATAGCAATCAAGCAAAAGCTTTAAAAAATCTTAAATACTTAAAAAATTAGTAATGAAGGAACTAAGGTAAGCAGCCACTGGTAGCAAAGTTCTGTGAAACATACTCTGGAGGAATTCATAGTTAGTTCTTCATATTAATGAAAGGTAGAGTTTTATGACTTATGAAATCTAATTTGACTTTTCTTCACAGTAGGACATCACTCTTTAAACTATTATTGCACACTTCAATTGCTATTTTAAATAAGCCTTTTGATAATAACATTTTTGGAACTTTACTACTTTCCACAACAAAAAATCTATTTAAATATTTGAGGGGGTTAAAAACAAATTATGTCCCCTACTGTTTCCCCTTCATCAGTACTCCTGAATGTTTTCCAATTTTCCTTGAAGATCCCTTTTTACTTACAAGATTCTTTTCCATGTGTTTTTCTGTATGAGCACCTACAGCGGCATCAACTAGCAATGATGGTCACACATACTTACAGCTCCTGTACATTATTTCTTAGGACTAGCCATTCAGCCACTCATTTTTCTCCAAGGAAATGTTGCTCAAAATTCCTACTTGTTTCTTCTGTTCTGTCTTCTTATCAAGCAGCTAATTACCAAGCTCAATCAAGTAGACAATTTGATAAAAGTCACAAATGAAAGCATTGTGAATGGTTGCTGTCATACATGCTTACAAGCAAGAGTCCTGCCAAATAAAACTGAAAGTGATCATCATATATACGTACCAAGCCATAAATGAGAAATTAACTTTAGAAAAACAATAAGTTATGGTTTTGTACATATGTCTATTTAAAGCACATGAGAATAAGGCAAGTCTTAGCAATGGAAATGCAAAAGTACAGAAAAGTACCAAAAAGAACATCAAACGAGAGAAGTAGAAATCTCTTACTGGTTCTTTCAGGTCTTTGAACAATCCTAGTCTTCTTATTCTGAATTCCACTTTCATGTAGTGCCTTAAACCAGTCTCTCAATCTGTTTGCAACCTCCCTGAATTCCAGGTCACTGCACACTGAAAAACAAAATGCAGAGCTGTTTAATGTTTTTCTCCTGTCTGCTAAATAGAAGTTTTCAAACTATGCTAAAAAAAAAAATAAAGTAAAACACTAAGTAATATAAACATGTATGTTCCACAGCCTTCTTTAATTCATAAAGTTCTGTTTCATTACTTAGGTATGCCTTCAAAATCCAATTAAGGTTCTCAGAAATAAATGCCTGATGTATAAAGCAATTATGAAACGATCTATATATAGAAATTAAAAACACCTCTTGCAAACTACTATAAACAGTTGTAGCACATATATTTTCACATTTTACTGTAGACAAGGCTGTATGGCAGAGACACCCATTACAGCCATTGGGAGTTTCATTTCTATGTTCACTAAGGCAATTGTAACAAAAGCCCCACCAGAACACGTCGGAGATGTAATTTAGGCAGATAACACAGGAACATCCAACTTGCTTTCCTATGCTGAAGTGCGAAAAAACAAAATCGGGTTGACATGAAGTGCTTCAAGAGTGACATCTGTGAGCACCTAACTGCCAACAGGCAACTGTATGGCCACCTGGTGATGGAAAAGATGGCTTCTTCGACCAGAAACAGCATAGGTACAAAAAGCACACAAGACCAAAGAGAGCATGTGTAGCACCAAGAGCAGCAGATCAGTAGCAGACTGGCTGAAGTGTTGTACAGTAGTGGCAGTACTGAAGTCACCAGCAGAAACAGCTAACAGAAATGAACAGTGAGAAGGAGGTCTGTTCACCTTCACTATTAAGCTGCTGCAGAAGACAAAGAAACGGTGTTCTTAGAGCAAGAAGATATCCCTTCCAGAACTCTCTTTTCCCATTTCATGTGTTCGAGAGAAGTTGGGAGAAGATGAGAGAAATAATAGTATACGGAAGATGACAAAAGCAGGAAAGGCACTGGATATAAGCTTCTCTGGGTAACAAAATACTTTCAGTGCTCTTGTCAACAGTTATCACTTCCAAATCAGGATCGTTTTCCAGGTTCACCAGTAATGGACTAAGCTGCAATCTGAAGAGCTCATACCTAAGTTAGCAGAGCTTCACAGAAGCTCTTGAAAATAAATCTCCAGTTCAGCTTACTTTTCCTTTATTATGTAGCAATCCACAATATTTGGTGGCATATCCTTCAGCACACTTTATTAATTTGAACACCACTGCGAAACATCTATTTGTATTCTAGAGTAAGACTGAAACGTGTCATTCTGTCAACAACTATCAATGTGTGTACAACAGCGGGCATCTAAGCATTTGTTTATTCATTCTTTGCTGAAGTCTCTCTTGAGACTTTGATTCTCTCCATGAAAGACTTAGGTGCAATCTATACATACATCTGCATATATTATGAGTTGACATTTTTATAAAATGTGTATCATGCTTTTCTCTTGTGTAATAGAACAAATATTCTTCTGATTACTCAACAGAGAACTGGGGGAAAAACAATTTTAATTATATATGGGCATGGATACTAAAAAAATGTCACATCTCAAGAACTAGGTTAAAATGGTCTCCTGAACCAAGACTACACATCATAATTCAAATTTGTAGGATTTTTACGTTTCCTGCAAAGACACGTTCCTTTACCAATCTTTGCACCAGCTGACAGGTCAGCATAAAGAATCAAATATTAACTTGGGACACGCTTCTTCTCTTTAATTTCCTCTCCCATTACAGGTGAAATAGAATAACATAGTTCCCTTCTCTAACTACTCTCCCTTGGCTTAAGAGAAAGACTTTTAGAATTGAATGAAAGGGCATGGAGCACATTAGTCCTGACTGCTTTGATTTTATCTATTTATCTATTTATTTAACACACGTCCTATCTGACTGCTTTATCTATCCCGCACATACTGTGTAATATCACCACAGGTCCCAGATACAATATAGACACATTAATGCTGTGCACTGACCTGGATATTTTAATCCACTTCTAATAAGTCCATATGCAGTGCTACTCTGATTAACCTCTGATGCTGAGGTGCCAGAGCCAGCACCAACAGAGAGCCAGCATATAAGCTCATCTACAGGCACAGACACACTCATAAACCCAGATATATGTGTGTGTGTTTGTGTGTATGTGTGTATATATGTACACAGTTTTATATATATATAATAT